CGTTTGCCCTCCAAATCCCAGGCGAAGCGACTTCCAGCAAAGGAGATGTGGTCAACAACCCTCAGCCTACCCGGGCTGATCCCTCACAAGACCACCAGGGTCACTGACTGAGGAGTGAATCTTCGACAAAACTGGGGGGCTGGCATTGTGGCACAGTGGATTAAGCCCCTATCTGCAACACCAGCACCCCGTATCTGAGCCTCTGTTCAAGTCCTGGCTGCTCTGTGTCCAGCTCCCTGCTAATGCATCTGGGTAGGCAGCAGATGATGGCCCACGCTCTTGGGCCTCTACCTCCTGCATAGGAGATCCAGGTGGAGTGCCTGGGTCTTGGCATCGCCTGGCCCAGTCCATGTGAGGAGTGGACCAGTAGATGGAAGATCTCCCTGGCTCTCCTTCTCTCTCTGAAACTCTTCCTTTCAAATAATTAAATAAATCTTACAAAAAAAAAAAAAAAAGTGGAGGGACCTGTAAGCAGGAAAGAAGGGGGAGAGAAGATTTGGGGGAGGAACTTGAGAGTGTTTGTGCCCAAGAGGAGCATTCCAGAATCCAGTGTCAGGAGGGGTTTCTGTGGGTAAAGTACACATGAGGTTGAAAGAAAGCAACACTGCATAAAGAGAGCACTACATCACCCCCTGTCTCTTCCCCTTCTATTCCCCAAAGGATAATGGCCTCCCGCCCCGGCTCTGTCTTGAGCCAACCCCTGGCAGTCCACACTACAGAAAAATAAACTCATGCCTTCAGCCCCGAGTGGAGCTCCTGCCCTCCCTACCTCTGAGTCACGCCGTGCGTCCGCTTCCCCTGCCCGGTACCTCCTCTCACCACTTCCTGTTCTCACTCAGCAACCATGCATTAAGCACCCACTGTGTGCTGGGGGCAGCAGAGACAAGATGAGAATGCAATGAGCCTGGGCCTTCTCTCCAGGGGGCCCCTCCATCCTCTGCCTCAATCCCCAGTCCCTGCAGAATCCTGCCCAGATGTCGTCCCAGGCACTCCTGGAACGCCCGCACGGCTGCAAGCCATTAGCTGCAAGTCCATAGGTGGGCACGCGGTCATGTCCTTGTGTCTCTAATGAGGGCTTTGTTTCTGCTGGTCGCATCTTCCCCCTCCCCACCCCTGGAGCGCACGAGCACTCTGAAGGTCCAGTTTCTGCTTCCTGCGCAGCTCAGAACGGCCGTGCCAGGTGCGGGTGCCAGTGTTCCAGCCAGCGTTTCCAAAGACAACAAGTAGCCTCTCCACGGTGTTGTGGGAGATGCACAATGGGTTTTGCACACAGCGGCCCCGCTCTTTCTCACACCATTCCCCGTGTGGTCCCTGACACATCTAATAGGCTGGCTCCTATTAGCGTCCCATTCCCTGGATGGAAAAAGAAAGGTCCGAGGCCGGCGCCGCGGCTCACTAGGCTAATCCTCCGCCTTGCGGCGCCGGCACACCGGGTTCTAGTCCCAGTCGGGGCACCGGATTCTGTCCCGGTTGCCCCTCATCCAGGCCAGCTCTCTGCTGTGACCCGGGAGTGCAGTGGAGGATGGCCCAGGTGCTTGGGCCCTGCACCCCATGGGAGACCAGGAGAAGTACCTGGCTCCTGCCATCGGATCAGCGCTGTGCGCCGGCCGCGGCGGCCATTGGAGGGTGAACCAACGGCAAAAGGAAGACCTTTCTCTCTGTCTCTCTCTCTCTCTCACTGTCCACTCTGCCTGTCAAAAAAAAAAAAAAAAAAAAAAAAAAAAAAAAAAAAAGAAAGAAAGAAAGAAAGAAAAAGAAAGGTCCGGGGTAGCTGAGACAGTTGTAGATGTAGAACTCCAGCCAGGCTGCCGCCCCCCCCCACCACCACCACCAGGGTCCACACGCAGCTCCCAGGGGAGGAATGTGTGTCACTACACTTTCCATGGAGGCCTCTCCCGTGGTGGCCTCGGGGCTGTGACCACCTTGGTGGCAGGTGGGACCCATCTGCTCGGGGGTAGTGAGGAAATGGCAGCTTAAGGAGTTTATGTAACTTGGAAGAGGCAAAGCCAGCGCTTAAATCCAGACGTTTCTGATAGCATCATGCATGCTCTTTCTCACTATTACGTCAACTGTGATTTCAAGTGGTGTGAGTCCACTTCTCGAACTTTCCCGTGCCTGCGGAATTGGAACAGCAGGGTTTCAATCCAGCTCTGTGGCCGGGGGCAAGTCGTTCCCTCTTTCGGAGTGTCCCCTCTGCTGTACATGCAGACTAGGCAAACAAGCAGGAACCCAGCAGCAACCCCCTCGGCCCGTCGTGAGGATTCATTGAAAGCAAGCACGGAGCACGCGCACGCTTTCCGCAGTGTGTGGCGGGAGGTGAGCACCCACCAACGTTCACTTGTGCTCATGAGAGCACTCTTTGTTATTATTAGCTTTGCTCAATCACTCCAGCCGGCCCGGCCACCGCTGCCAGGAAAGAGCTGAATTCTGAGGGGGGGGCCCCCGGATTCCCCGCCCCTGCCCAGAACCGTCACTGCAGCTGCCCCGGGGAGCCTGTGCGTGCAGCCCGGCTGCAAATCCCAGGCCTTATTGATGTCCTGTCTCAGCCGCCCCACTCAGCTGCTCCACACATGTTCCATAAATGGGAATCATTAGCTGCGAGCCCCATAAACACTGCCTCCTAACCACGTTGTGCAGCGTGCCCTGGCTGTGTGGGCAAGGGCTCGGGCAGGCACATCAAGCCCGATGTGAAACAGCCATCGGCGTGTGTCAAAGCCGGCCTGCCCTCCAAAGAGCCTTCCGGGGGCCAAGGGGGCCGCTTCTTCCAGCGGCTGGAACAAACTCCGCTTTCACTCATCTCGGCGCAAAGAACCAGTTAGAGCCGAAGACTAATCACAGAGAGCTGGCTCGGGCCGCTCCACGGGGAAGTTTGAAAGCAATGATCTTCTTTGCATTTAATAAAACTTCTTTATTAGGTTCCTTTTACTCTCAAGTTAATGAAGAGAGCAGATTTGCTGTAAAGGGGCCGACAGACCTCGTTGTGCGAAGCTAAAATCTTTCCATTGCAAGCGTACACCAGGGTGCTTCAAAAATGTCTTGGAAAATGGAATTAAAAGATAAGTTGATTTTGGTGGAAAAATGTGAAATCCATGCATGATCTTTTGTGCATAATATACCCTTTTCCTCGAGCTTTTCAAATATCCCTCCTACAAATGCATTTTGTACTCAAGTGGTCACGACAAGGACCTTAAGAAATTATTATCTGTGATGAAACAAAATCCACGTCGCTGTCTATGTGTTTGGGTGGAGCATGCGCTATGGAGAGACCCACGCCATGGGCCAGGGGGGAGGACAGTGGATGTGGGAGGAAGCTGTGACTTAGTGGGGGTGGTCCTGCAGAAGGCAGAAGGCTTCGGAAGGGCTGACCCTGTGCCCGTGTTGACCACATCTTTCCCGAGAGAAGATGGGTGAGACGCGTAAGCAGGTGATTCCGCAGTTGGGTACAGTTAGGGCAGCGGCAGACCTGGAGAGCAAGGAATTGGTCTCTTGGAGCCTCGGCTTCTCCATTTGCAGGAAGCAGATAGTGGAGGTCAGGGGTTTGGGAGGTGCGGGTTGTCTTGGCCGGGTCATACTTGGGGCTGGCACGAAGAAAGAGACGATATTGTCCCGCCCTCTCCAAGTGACCGTGAGGGTGCTTCCAGGGGAGGGACCCCAAATGTGCATGGCGATGAGGGTCTTGCTTGGCGGGGAACCAAACCTGAGCTGGAGGCCACCGCGGCCATCTCGGGAGGGCTCCCGAGCCTGTGCCAAGGGTGTGGGAAGGAGAGGGAGAATCCAAAGAGATCAGAGCGGCAGAAAGAGGAAGAGAGAGGGAGACAGGGCAAAGCAAAGGCAGAACACAGAGGAAGTTTCTGGGCCAGCTTGGGTGAGGAAGAGGAGGCAGGACAGCGGATACGCCCGGCCCCGGGGCGGGGGGGGGGGGTCCAGCCCAGCTCCCTGGGGAGAGGCTGGGGGCCCTGCTGGCCTCCTGTGTGCTGATGCTGCGGAGTGTCTGGAGCCCCGGGAGACTGCAGGCTTCTTGCTTGGCCATTGCTGGGTAACTGAGCACCAGCCCCAAGGAGCCTCCCAGAAGCCAGAGCAGACCCGGTATGGAGAGGCTGGGGCCCTGTTGTCACAGAGAGGCAGAGTGGCCCTGGCCCTAGCGTCCACCAGGACTCCAGGGAGGGGGTTGCTCCATCCTCCCCCTGTGTTGCCCACCCTCGCGTCTTCCCAGGCCCGGGTCAAAATGCAGCCCGTGCCGCCTTCTCTCTCCATCTCTCTGTCGGAATCCTTTTGGGTGGTGGAAAAAAAAAAAGGAGAGGTAGAGTCCCCGGGGTGAGGGGAGGGGAGGACAGGGAGAGAAATGAGAGCAGAGGACGCATAGCCACTGCGGTTCCTTCCCCAGTGCTGGAGCCGGGAGGGCTTGCGAGGGACACCGCAGACACACAGCCCCGGTGGACGCAGACACGGGATTGGAGCAAAGCCCGGCAAAGGCACAGGTCCCAGCACCCCCAGCCCACCACCGCGCTCCCGTGAGCTTCGTTGAGACCCCTCAAGGCTGCCAGGAGCCCCCACCTCTCCATGCCTCTCTCCCCACTACCCGTTTTCTGAAAGCCGCCTCTTCTGAGGATGACCCAAGTGAGAGCGAAGAGGGAGACCCCTTGGATGGCCTGGCTCCCCTGGCAGAACCGGCTGTAACTGTCCGCCCAGCTGCCAGCCCTCAGGAGGGAGCTCCTGGCACCATCGCTTCCTGTCTTCCTGTCTCCAGCTTCCTCTCTACTTCGGGCCACGGCGACCCTTCCTCTCCCTCTGCTTGTCTGCTGCCCAAGTCCTGTGCGACATCCTAGTGACTTCAGAAGCAAACCCAAGGGGTGGCAAGTGGGCCAGGAGGGCGCCAGGTTGTCATGTTCTGAAAATGCAGAAGCAAACACGCCCCTCCCACCCCCCCCATCACTCCCACCCCACCCCTGCACCGGCACCTCCAGCCTGGGGTCCTCCCGTTTGCTGGTGACCCCTGCTGCAGCCTGCTGGGCCCTCGCCCCAGGCTTGATGCTTTGTTTATTGTCCCTTGAAGTCACACACCTCCTCCTGGGAGACAAAGAAAGTTGGCCACGGAGAACAAAGAAAGCTAAGGTCTTTTAAAGTGCGTTTATGGAGGCTTTCATGAACTTGAGGATCAGAGTCGAAAAACAAGTGTGAAAGTTTTCAAGGAAGGAACATGCTTTTGCAATTTGCTGGAAGGTTTCCCCTGTATTCCAGCAAAGCAGCCTCCCCGTTACTCACCAGGGAGGCACGCGGGCCAGGGAGGAAGGGGAGTCGGCGAGCGAAAACAGGCCTTCCCCTGTCCATGTGTAAACGGCACTTAATAATCAAATTGAAAAAACACACAAATGAAATTAAAACGTCTTCCAAGTGCGCTGCAGCCCTGAGGCCAGACTTTGTGGGGCCGTGGCCGGGCGAGTTTGTGTCTTTGCCTTAATTGGGCTCCAGGCAAGGCAGCTGTTGGGAGAGCAGATCTGGTGTCAGCAGAGGGGTAGGACTCAGAGGGGCCCCTGAGGCAGGCAGGCCAGTCCGCCCCTGCTTCTGCTCACCTCTGTTCCCTGGGGACCCCGCATCCCCTGGGGGATGCACGCTTGTCCCAACAGCTCCAACAGCAGCAGGGGCCCCGTGAGTTCTCCCCGCAGCCCTGGCCACCCCCCCACCCCCGACAACCTCCTGGGCTGCAGCCTCCTCCCTTGCTGACCTCCTGTCTCAGAATAACCCGAGCTCTCTACTTGCACCTTTTCCTTGCACTCAATCCCTTGGGGACCTCCCCCAAGGTCTACTGCTTTGAAATCATCCACACGCCGATGACTCCCAATGTTTATCCCGTTTCCTAGCTTCTCCCCTGAAATTTCAGACTTGCCAGCTCAGGATGCCCTCCTGGGTGTCAAACAGAGAGTGCAAACATAACATTCTGACCACGGGGTCAAGTCCAAAGTCCGGGCATGGCACCCACTGTCACCTACATGCATTCTGCTCGCCCCAGCCTCGCTGGCCTCCTTGCCGGCCTTGAAGAGGCCAGGCAGGGTCCCTCTGTGGGGACTTTGCCTGAACTGTTCCCTCTCCTTGTGCCACTCCTACCCCAGGTGTCCGCATGGGTAACTTTAGACTTTGTCTACTTTTTTTCATGGACCACGATCTATGAAAAAGCATTTTTGCAGTTGAATCATTTTAGCATCTCCTTTACAATAACTACGATTTTTTTTCTTCTGAGAGACCATCCTGATTATCATGTAGAGCTCTGCTCATGTCCCCTTGATGCTATTAAACTTATTTCTCTACTCCCTTGAACATGGCCCCCAGCTATAGATTGGATAGTAGTTGGATGCCCCACAAAGGCCCATGTCCGAGGACTTGATCTAAGTCTTATGTCAAAGGCTAACTGACTAATGTTAAGGTTAATGGATTAAAGGGGGCTGACACTGTGGGGGTAGTGGGTTAAGCTGCTACCTGCAGTGCCCGCATCCCATATAGGCACTGGTTTGAGACTCAGCTGTTCCACTTCCAATCCAGCTCCCTCCTAATGTGCCCGGGAAAGCAGCAAAGGATGATCCAAGTCCTTGGGCCCCTGCACCCACCTGCTCCTGGTTCCTGGCTTCGGACGCATCATTAAGCCATTTGGAGGGTGAACCAGCAGATGGAAGATCTCTCTCTCTCTCTGTCTCCCCCCAAACCATAACTTTGCCTTTCAAATAAATAAATGGATTAAGGCTGGATAGCTTATCTAATTATAACGTCTAGGGAGGAAGCCTGTTGGGAGGTCCTTGTGTCACTGGGGGCTTGCACGTGGTGGGTAGTTCCGAGCGGGTTGGTTATTTTAAACCAACTTCCACCTAGTTTCTCTCTCTGTTTCCTGGCTCTCCTTGTCATCCTCCCTCCACATGGTCTCTGCCACCACCAGTCTCCACCAGATGCCAGGCTAATGGAGCTGCCCGACCTTAGCCTGCGAGCCTCCAAACTGTATGCCCAAGTAAGCCTCTTCCCTCCTAAGAAGCTCCACTCAGGCGTTTTAGCGAAAGCAATGGAAGCTGGCTATTTCACTCCTGTGCAGTCCTTCTGTCACCGTATCCCTTGGTGGCATTTGACATTTTCCTGTCGCTTTCTGCTTCCTGCTGCTTCCTTGCCTGTATTTTTAGCAGTTCCTTCTCAGTCAGGCTCCTTTTATATTTTTATATTTTTTTTAAGATTTATTTATTTATTTGAAAGAGTTGGAGAGGGAGAGACAGAGAGAGAGGTCTTCCATCCACTGGTTCACTCCCCAGATGGCAGCAATGGCCGGAGCTGTGCCAATCCGAAGCCAGGAGCTTTTTCTGGGTCTCCCATGTGGATGCAGGGGCCCAAGGACTTGGGCCATCTTCTACTGCAGAGAGCTGGATCAAAAGTGGAGCAGCTGGGTCTCCAACTGGCGGGCATATTGGATGCCGGCACTGCAGATAGCGGCTTTACCCACTGTGCCACAGCACTGACCCCTCAGTCAGCCTCCTTTAGGGTTGCTTCTCCTTCCTCCTTCATGCGGCCACCTGAAATGTCATCGTTCCCCAAGGCTTCACCTCTTCTCAGTATACACAAACTCATTCGTTTCCATGTCTTCGTTTAGCCTCTCTGTGTTAGTGGGCTCAAATGTATAACACAAATTATCCACCAGAATCTCCCACTGAATGCTATTGATCCCTTCTTAAAAAGATTTATTTTTACTTATTTGAAAGGTAGAGACTTACAGATGGGGGGCAGCGTGGGGATGGGGGACTTCCATCTGCTGGTTTACTCCCCAAATGGCCACAATGGCAGGAGCTGAGCCGATCTGAAGCCAGGAACTTCTTCCATCCAGGTCTCTTATTTGGGTACAGGGGCCCAAGCACTTGGGCCATCCTCTGCTGCTTTCCCAGGCATGTTAGCAGGGAGCTAGATCAGAAGTGGAACAGCCAGGACTTGAACTGGTGGCCATATGGGATGCCAGTATTGCAGGCCGGGGCTTTAACCCGCTGAGCCACAGGGCCAGCCCGAATGTTATTCATCCTTCTACTCTCTCCTTGGAGCTAACTGTGTGCCAAGCATTACGAATTAAGTCAAGAATGAGAGAGATGTATTCGCTGCCCTCTTTGAGCTCAATGTCTGTCAGAAGAGACGAAGGAAGTGCAGAGCAGTGTATGCACGGGGCCACAGGTCACACAGAGGACGTCTCACTATACTAGGAGCACTGAGAAGGCCCAGGCTAGACCTCAGCAGTTTTGCCTTTAAGGCCATCACTCTGAGTACAAAGTGGGAGATGGGCTGCCGGAGATAAGACCAGACGTCTAGGTGCTGATGGGAAACTGGGAAGAGTTGATGCCACCAGCCAGAGCTCAACAGACTACAGATGTGTCATCATCTGTTTCCTAAGACGCCCGTTAGTTTTTCTCATCCAACAAACCAATTCCCTTGACCAGAGCCTCACAGTTCCTGCAGTTGTCTCCTAGGTGGTCTCTTGGTCGCCCTCCCTACTTCTAGTGAAAGGAATGGACTTTTGTTTCCCTCCTGCTCCTCCCCCTCCCCCTCTTCCTCTCCTCTTCCTCCTCCTCTTCTTCCAACTTCTTAGATTGTTGCCTCCGAGGCAAAGGAATTGAACTTTGTTGTAACGTACCTCAAGAAGATGTTCTTTGCTGTACTTGGGGGCTGAAACTCTGCCAGCAATTTCTCTTTAAGCCTTGAAACACACCTGGAATGATTTGGAAGCCATTCCAACCTCAGAGCAAGCTTCTACCTTAGCATTTTGTTCTTCCTCCTCCTCAGTCTGCAGTACACCAGGCCTCCTCTGGCCCCCATCCGGCAGCTGGACTGGTGAAGGGGATGGTGACTCACTGCGTAAGGAGGGCACCTGTGGAGTGGGGCGAGAAGGGCAGGAAGAAGAGACCAAAAGCTTCAGGGACTGTGAAAGCCATGAGATGTGCGCCAGTGATGAGCTTCTCAGAGGCTCTCTGATGGCCGAGAGACGGCTGTGGGCCACCTTGATACCTTGGAGGTTAGTTTGACATGGGGATGAGTCAAGTTAGCCCAGCATCTACACACAACACTCTGGATGTAATAGAGATGGACTATAGCACTTGAACTTGATCGGAAATTGATTGAACTTTGTTCAAACATGGCATGCATGTGTGCATACATACATGTGTGTGTTTCCTTGGTGAAGGGAGAGAGTATGTTCCTACTGCACCCCCCACCCCGCCTTCAAATATGAATAGATACTTGTCTTCCCCCAGTGTGGAGGACAAGTGGTTAAATAAAAGAATGAATGGACCAAAAGAAAAATGAACTCAATGCATTGCAATGTGGTGGACACATCACCGTGCAAGGAAGGCGAGAGAGGCTTTCTCCTTTCTAAGAGTCAGGATCAGAACTCAGGATCACTGCTAGGAAAGGGCCAGGAAAACATATCAGGATATTTGGGAAGGAAAGCTATAAAAGCGAGGAAGGCCGGCGCCGCGGCTCACTAGGCTAATCCTCCGCCTGCGGCGCCGGCACCCTGGGTTCTAGTCCTGGTCAGGGCGCCGGATTCTGTCCCAGTTGCTCCTCTTCCAATCCAGCTCTCTGATGTGGCCAGGGAGTGCAGTGGAGGATGGCCCAAGTGCTTGGGCCCTGCACCTGCATGGGAGACCAGGAGAAGCACCTGACTCCTGGCTTCAGGTCGGCGCAGCGCGCCAGCCATAGAGACCATCTGGGGGGTGAACCAATGGAAGGAAGACCTTTCTCTCTGCCACTCTCTCACTATACTCTGCCTGTCCCATATAAAACAGACAGAAGAAATAAACAGGCCCGAGGAAGACAAGAGTGGATTGGGAGTCCTAGGTTTCCCATGGCTCTCCCGTACTATTAAGTTGTTTGCCTCCAGCAGAGTGGTTCTGAGAAAAGTTGAGGAAACATTCACGAACTCTTAAATTGAGAGCTCGTTCCAACACTTAAACTCCCTCTGCCGCCGGTCCTCAACCTTGGGCACAGGAAGAAAGGCCCAGGTCTGCCTGGCTGAAGTCGTAAATAGCAGTGCACCTGGCCTGAGCCTCCTCATCACTGCTGTGTAGACAGATGTGTAGCAGGGTCAAAGGGGTTGTGTTCCAGAGTGTTTAACCATGGTGAGTCACCCCCTCAGCGGCCCAAGGAAACAAGGACACTGGCAGCCAGAAAGTACTTGTAAGGGTCAGAACTCCGTGTTGGCTCTTTCCCCTGGAGGCATTAGATAACTTGACAATGTTTGATTAATAATATTCCCTGAGTCCCTCCAGGGGTTGGGACTGGAGGACTCAGAGGAAGTCCTTAAAATATTTGCTCTCAAATATTTAGACTTCAGAAGTGAGCTAGGCGTGGTATCTGGAGGAGACAGAAAGGTAGGCTCTTCTCTACTAAATAACGTCTTAGTAAGGGAGGAAGGCAAGGACGTGGATGACTTTGAGTCGGCCAAGTAGGAACCATGAGAGAGCGCAGTACGGGGCCTGCAGGAGTGCAGAGGATCCCTGCAGGAAATGGCCTTTGGAGATGAGTCTTGATGTGTGAATAGGAGCTGACTCCAGCCAGAAGCAACAAGTAATATATAAAAAATAGGGAGAAAAAAATGAAAACATGTGGGGAGCAACTGAGACTACACTAAATTACTGGAACTAGGACTAATTCTATGCATCTGATCTCGCACAATATGGTGCCGAGAGAGAGACCAAACAACCTCTACGCAGCTGCCTCATCAGTTTGATAAGCTGCAGGAGCTGATCCTGCTCCTGATTGGAGGAGAGCAGCGTGCTCGGCATGTGGGCAGCAGAGTTGGGATTGGTGGAAGAGGACTATAAAGGAGGAGAGAGACAACATGCACCGGGAACACCTGAGGAACATCTGAGCAGCCCCCGAGAGAGCCGGCCAGCGGTGTGCCGCTCCTCCGCGGAAGCGGGAAAGCGGCAGGGGGTGCCGCCCCTCCACGGAGGTGGGGGTCCGGCAGCTAACCCGGGACAGCGTCGTTCCTCCGCAAGTGAGGGAACGGCAGCTAACCCGGGAAGGGCTGAGCAGACAAAAGAACAGCGCAGGGTCTAGTGTCGTTCCTCAGCGAATGGGGGAGCGACAAAAACAATCACTTGAACTTTTTTTTTTTTTTTTTTTGGACAGGGAGAGAGACAGAGAGACAGAGAGAAAGGTCTTCCTTTTGTTGGTTTACCCCCAAATGGCTGCTATGGCCGGTGTGCTGTGCCGATCCGAAGCCAGGAGCCAGGTACTTCTCCTGGTCTCCCATGGGATGCAGGGCCCAAGCACTTGGGCCATCCTCCACTGCCCTCCCGGGCCACAGCAGAGAGCTGGACTGTAAGAGGAGCAACCGGGACAGAACTGGCGCCCAGACCGGGCCTAGAACCCGGGGTGCTGGCGCCGCTGGTGGAGGATTAGCCTAGTGAGCCGCAGCGCCCGCCAGGGACTTGAACTTGTACACAACATTATTCACAATTATCCACAATAATCAAAATATTGAAAGTGGACGGATGGATGGATGGGTCAGCAACATGGGGTATGTTTGTTCAGGGCAGTATCACCCGGCCTTTAAAATGCATGGAGTTCTTACACATGCTAAACAAGCATGACAGAAACCTAGAGACATGGGAAATAAGCCAGACACAAAAGAACAAAGCGTGTAGTGTCTCACACAGTCTCTAGAGTAGTCGGATTCATAGACAGGAAGTGAAATGGTGTTTGCAGAGAATTTTAGGGAAGGGAGGAGGAGTTATTATTTAGCGGGTACAGGATTTCGGCTAGGGAATATATATCTTGGCACAGCAAAGATGAGTGTTCTTTTTTTCTTTTTATTTTATTATTACTATTTTTGTTAAATGAGTGTTCTTAATGCCACTGAGCTATATACCTAAAAATGGTTAAACGGGAAAGGGCAAAGGTTAATACATACGCGTGATGGAAGCTGAGGATATGCGTGAGAGACTGTCAGGTGCAGTTAGTCCAGGTAATGAACATTTTTCAATCCAAGAAGATGGGGCTGCAGTAGGGGTGATGGGGAGTTGGCAGAGAAGTGGGGAGGGCCCGTGGTGTTTGGGGCAAGTTGTAGCCTACAGAGGAGAAAGACTCGGGAGGGGAGGCCCGGCAAGAGGCTACTGTAGTGGCCAGGGTGATCTTTGGTGGGAGCGGGAACTTACGGTGAAGATGAGGACGAGACCAGGATGTTAGGAGAGGAAGACAGGTTGATGGATTCGGGTGTGACATTGGGGCAGAGTGGGAAGCTGAGGGTGTGTCCCAGTCTTCTGGTTCGGGTGAATGAATGGACAGTGGGACCATCGCAGACAAGGACTTCAGGCCGAACTGTGTGTTTTATGGGGAAGACAACAGAACAGATTAGACACATTGCAGTTTTTGTTTTTGCTGCTTTTTGAGATTGATTGATTTGAAAGTCAGAATTAAACACACACACACACACACACACACACACAGATCTTCCATCTGCTGGGTCACTCCCCAGATGACCTCAATGGCTCCAGACTGGGCCAGGTTGGGCCAGACTGAAGCCAGGAGCCAGGAGTTTCTTCCAGGTCTCACACGTGGGCAGCAAAGGCCCAAGTACTGGGGTCATCTTCTGCTGCCCTTCCCATGCCATTAGCAGGGAGCTGGATCAGAAGTAGAACAGCCAGGACACGAATCATTGCCCATATAGGATGCTGGTGTCGCAGGCAGCGGCCACACCATACATGCCACGGTGCCAGCCCCAAGACACATTGAAGTTTAATGTGTGCTTGTATTTAGTGCCACATGATGATAAATTGCCTTTCATTTGGCTCCTTCCTCTCACTTGTGTTGTTATTGTCTCTAACATTACATTGTTAGGCACATAGATCTTGTGCCTCCATTCATCCATTCATCTGTCTGTCCATCTGTCCTTCTGTTCTTCTGTTCAGCCATCAATCCACCCATCCATGCATTCAACAGCGTTCATTGAGCACATTCTCATTGCTTCAAGTCTCAAGTCCATCCAGCCCTAGGCCAAGAACAAGCTGGGCACAAATCTTCAACTGTGAGGTCCTTTCCAGTGCACAGTAGCTTCCCTCACTTAAAGTGCGCAGAAAAGCAAGGGTGCATGGCAAACTCACCCTATGTTTGAATCCCATTCCGTTTCACAACAATCTGTTTTTAAATTAATTTCTTTTAAAATTATATTTGAAAGGCAGAGCAAGAGAGAGAGCGACAGAGAGAGAACATGCACTTCCATTTGTTGGCTGGCTCCCCAGATGCCTGTAACAGCCGGGGCCGGGTCAGGCCAAAGACAGGGACCCACGTGGGTGGCATGAGCTCAAGGACTTTGGCCATCCTCTACTGTCTTGCAGGACGTACATTAGCAGGACTCTGGGTCAAAGGCGGAGCAGGAAATTGAAGCAAGGCACTCTGACAGGGGCTGTGGGCTCCTTCATCACGGAGCCACTCGCCCACCCCCCGTTCTCAGGCAGTCTTTTGAGATTAGCACTATTTTCATTTTCCAAGGAGATGCTAGAGGGAAGGAGCAAGAAGAAATGGAGGGAACTCTTGAAGATGGTGGAAAAGTTCGCTTTGATTGTGATAACTGTGTAACAACTACATATGTGGGTCAACACTTATCCTGAAAGCTACACCTCAATAAAGCTGTTTTATTTAAAGATTCAATCATTTATTTGAAAGGCAGAGTTACAAAGAGGCAGAGGCAGAGAGAGAGAGAGGTCTTCCATCCACTGGTTCACTACCTAGATGGCCACAATGGCTGGAGCTGGGCCGATCCAAAGCCAGGAGCCCAGAGCTTCCTCTGGGTCTCCCACATCAGTGTGCTTTTTGAGTCAGTCCCCTGCCTCTGCCCCCAGCTCCTGGCCCCCAGTGGTATATTTTCCATTCCTATAGTTCTGCTTTTCCAGGATGTCATATAAATGGCTTAGACAACATGTAGCCTTTGGAGACTGCTTCTTCCAATGTGGCAGAGTTTCTTGCCCTTGGCGCTGATGACACTGAGTTAGATTATCATGGGCCCGGCCGGCGCTGCGGCTCACTAGGCTAATCCTCCGCCTAGCGGCGCTGGCACACCGGGTTCTAGTCCCGGTCGGGGCGCCGGATTCTGTCCCGGTTGCTCCTCTTCCAGGCCAGCCCTCTGCTGTGGCCAGGGAGTGCAGTGGAGGATGGCCCAGGTGCTTGGGCCCTGCACCCCATGGGAGACCAGGAAAAGCACCTGGCTCCTGGCTCCTGCCATCGGATCAGCGTGGTGCGCCGGCCGCAGCGCGCCGGCCGCGGCGGCCATTGGAGGGTGAACCAACGGCAAAGGAAGACCTTTCTCTCTGTCTCTCTCTCTCACTGTCCACTCTGCCTGTCAAAAAAATAAAAATTAAAAAAATAAAAAAAAAAAGATTATCATGGGCCCAAGGGCCTGCCCCATGTGCTGTGAGACATTTAGGAGCAGCCCTGTCCTCTACCCACTGGATTCCGGTAGCACCTCCCTCTCCAGTGAGCACAACCAAAAATATTTCAGACGTTCCCCATTGTCCCCTGAGGCCAGGGGGTGGGGAGAGCAGGAAATCTCCCCGGTTGAGGACGGCCAGCCTAGCACACCGCACCTGAGCTCATCCCCGTGTTGGTACCGGTACCCAGATTTCACTCTACTGTGCAGGGAATGAGCGGGTGTGGAGACGGCAGCTTCATTTCCCTCCGACATGGATCCCGCCAAATGGAAGCTGGAATTAGGGAATCAACTGTTCGCAATCTGGGTGGGAAGTGCCAGCCAACAGCTCTACCGCTACTGAACGCTTCCTAAAGTAGTGCAGTCAGCACGCGCAGATGTTGGCAACTGAAAGGAGGCAGGAACTCGGGGCAATGCCCTTTGCTCAAGGGCACAGAGCGTGTCTGCCTGTCTCTCCTGCAAAGCAGGGTTATCACGCTATCTGCACAGCTGGCACAGCTGGGAGGAAGTGCAAGGAAATGAAGAAAGAGAGCGCGCTCAGCCCTCTGCAAGTGGCTACGGCAGGCGCAGCCGCCACGCCACTCTGGGGTTTCCAGTGTTTGCTCGTTGGCTTGTTTGCACATACTTCATGCCGTCTGTCCACTCATGGGCCTGCACCCACTTAAGCCTGGGGCCACACATCTGCTGCGGGTGGTGAGCAGCTGTCAATGCGCCGAGCAGGTGGGGGAGGGCTTTTTTCGGGGAAAAGTGTCCTTCAAAACTCTGGAGCAGGGGCCGAGGAGCTAGGCCAGACAGGGCGGTGGGTGTTTGTGCAAATTGGACAGAAACCTGAAGTTTCTGTTGGGAGAAAAAAAAAAAAACATGGCTGGGAAAGCACTGGAGGAGCAGCCCCCTCCGTTTTCTTTCTGAGAAACACTGTTTATCGTAACAACAACCACCATCGCACGATTTGCAAAGCTCTTTTATTGACTCTGCAAATCAGTGAGTGAGTTTAGTGTGCAGCTGGCCCCAGGCACAAGTGGGAAGGAGATGAAGCTGGCTTTTCAGTGAATTTCCATACGTATGAAGGCCCCCCCAGCTGCGGACCCTATGCCGGGATGGGTGGGGGGGTGGGTGTGTTGGGGACGGGAGGAATTTAGAGAGCCCCTCATGCAGGGCTCCGTTGTGCCAATGGGGACAGATGTTGGCAGCTGGGTGAGGACTGGACGAGAGAGACAGGGACAACCCATCCTTTTGTCATCGTTTCTGCTTGCCCGTGTCACCTGGCTGGGACTCAACTCTCAGACACTAGATCCCATAGCAACTCATTCAGCACATGTAGTGTGCCAGGATGTGTTCTGTGAAGCAGCGGCCAACAGGGACAAAAACCTCTGTCCTCAGGGTCTTCAATCTAGTGGAGAAAGACTCAACACAAGCACAGTAAGCGACTTAGGTGGTGGATCTCACAGAGATGTGTGTGGCCAGCAGGGGGATGGGGGACACAGAATTGGGTTCCCATTTTCACGGAGGTACCCAGGGAAGGCCTCACATTTGAGCAAACGCTAGGGCCACGGGAAAGGTGAGATACCTCTGGAAAGAGCATTCCAGGCAGCGAAGCCAGCAAGATCAAAGGTCCTAAGGCAGAAGCCTAACATTCGAGGTATGGTAAGGAGGCCAGCGTTAGTATAGTGGAGTAAGCGAAGGGACAAGAGTAAACAAAGTCTAAGTGTGGGGCATTAGATGTGGATGGCCTTGCAAGCTACAGCACAGACGTGGGCTCACTCTCTGTGCAACTGTAAGCATTAGGAGCCTTTGAAGACAGAACGACACGATATGACTCAAGTTAATGGGCGCTCGCTCTGGCTGCTGCACAGAATAAGCCTCAGGTGCCCAAGCTAGGTGGAGTTAGATGCTCTTGAAGTCATTCAGATGTGAGAGGAGAATGGCTTCAACCAGAACAGAGGATGAGAAATGATTGGGTGTTGCACCTATGTGTAGGTGGAACCACTGGGTGTGTTGACAGATGGGAGGTAAGGTGGGAAATAAAGAGGAGAATCTAAGCTGATCTAGGGGCTGGAGAAGACATGGAAGAAGGGTGACGGGGCAGAAGAGGCCAGGAGTTGTCTTTTTCCACACCCTGAGGTTGTGATACCTGTCGGTGACCTCAGTCGTCATGTCCAGAGCGCTGGGAGAGTCCACAGCTCAGAGGAACATTCCGGGCTGAAGCTAGAGAATTGGGAGTCTGGGGGGGGGCGCACAGAGAGCAGGAGGCTAGATGAGACCCCGAGGGAGCGAGAAGGCACTGAGCACAGGTGGGTTCTCCAGTTTCAGCCCTGCAAGTTGCCAACATCTGAAGTCTGAAGAGACTAAGAAGGAGCAGCCAGGGATGTGAGAGGACACCGAGTTTTCTTGGAACTCAAGGGAAGAGAAGGTTTTGAGAAGGAGGGAAGGAACAATGCCAGATGCCATCGCTGGGTCTAGCTGAGAGCTGAGAACTCACCACTGTGGTTGACTTGACAAGACCTCTGCAAGTGGGGTGATGGGGACAGCAGCTAGAGTGGACTGAGTTCACGAGAGGAGACAGGAGAACGGGAGACAGCGGACGGGAAACAAACAACGCTTGAAGTTCCGCTTGAGAGGAGGGAGCAGAGGAGATACACAGAAAAGGAGTTTTGTTTAAAAGACGCAAGAAGTTCCTGCAGGGAAAGGCGGTATTGTGACAGTGGCTCCAAAAGTTGTGGTTATGGGTAAAGCCTTTGTCCTTCAATTTTTAACCATGCTGCAAATATTATTTTCTTAAATATATTTTTAAATGAAATGACTTGATGTTTGCAGACTTGTACCTTATGAAGACAGCCTTGGAAGCCGGCGCCGTGGCTCAATAGGCTAATCCCCAACCTGCGGCGCCGGCACACTG